GTACGTCACCATTATGTTGTTTATATTTTTTTCTGCTGTGCAAGTGATGGCTTGTTCGTCAAAAATAATGTTACTGCGAAGATGTTGCCTGCTTTCGACGTAGTTTTCACATTCTTTGACAAAGCTCTGCTTGTGTTACGTTGATGTCAGTAAGTTTCTGGAGAAGATTGTAGGTTATACTTGTACCCATTTTATAGATAATTTAGAATTTTCTGCAGAACTTCATAAATTTTTTGTACTCAGAACATGGCGAACACTCGAAACGTCACTGCTGACATCTCCAGCAAAGAATTTCAACGACAGTTGTTTGATTGGTAACATACTGAACATATTTTTTTTTATTGCTCATTTTTTGACTTAACAATTCAGAAGCCTAAAAGTCACTCACTTTTACTATCATCATTTCTTAGGTTTGAGAAGCGTGGTTTACTATCAGAGCTACGGACATTCATGCGACATCGAATGATCTCTGCGCTGTACAGTAATGACGCTCCATGCCCAGGCTTACGCTTTTCTTCGGATACATCAGTTTCCCCTACTCTTCAGGTATGTCTCTACCATGTAACATATTGCCGTTATAAACTTGTAAAGCGATTGTATGCAGTTAACATTTTTCTGTCTAGGCTCTACTTTTACTTATTGTTGAGTTCTTAGTAAAACAAGAATATCATTACACCATGTCTATATTTGTTGCTGAGGCACCTTTAATTGCATCATTCCCTAAGTTTTCTGGGTATGTGTCTTACATGCCTCAATATGACACATTGAAAAGTGGATCTGAGTTTCCAAGATACACAGAAAAGGATGTGCAGGTTTGCTAAAAATATTTTCATATCATTAAAGCCCTGCTCTATAAAATTTCACTAATCAACATTGTGTTGACAATTTAGGATATTATGGAAGTATTCGGTATATCAGCAGGCTCTGAAGGTATGGATCATATTCTTCGTCTTTACTTCAACAACAATGCAAGAGAACCACTGTTGGTTTGTGCCTTAACTGCACTATCAGCAATAGTAGAAAATTGTACACAGAAAGAAGAGAAATCACCCAGAAAAAATTCAACTCAAAAGAAGGAAGAAACTTACAACACAACTTATTGGATAGAGGAGATAAGACTTGTTCTTCTTTGAGCCAAACTATCATCTAATCAGTTGCAACAAGTTGAAGAATTACTGCGCAAGTATGAATATTTTATCAAAAAAATAATGTATCACAGAACTGTGTCTGTGATTTTTTTGACATGATCTCACTTTCGTTTTAGACTACAAGCTGAAACTGCCAACAGTGTCCGTAAACTAGAAAATGAAAAACATAATAAATTAATACACATTCGAGAGCAGAAATTAATGGCTGAAGCTCTTGTACACGAGGAAAAGATTCGTGCCCAGCACAGTGCTGCTGAGGAAGATCTCAAGATTAAACAAAAGCACCTGGAACAAGTTACTCTTCAACTACGACAACAACATGATCTAGTACTTGAAAGGTTGAGTAGAGTCCAGGTGAGTGAGATTATTATCCTTTTTAGATTAGATTTATACTAAAATAAGTTTATAAGTACAATCATAGTTTTATTATTTTAGAGGCACGCAGATCAAATCAAACAACAAGAAAATGCACTAATGGAAAAGGAGAAATCTTTAGAAAAAAAACAGAAAAGGTAGGGGGAGCAAAATAATTTTACTTACCCAATTTGCTCTTTTTTGGATGTATTTTTACCCCTTCGTGTCTATAGCCTAGAAGAGGAACACCGCACTTTGGCAGGACTCCGGATTGAATTACAAGAGGCTGCTCATTTCCTGAGACAAGAGCATTCTGACTCTAAAACAATTGTAGAACTGAACCATCTTCAAGAACGATGCTCACAGCTTGAGCATGAACTTAAGGATGCCAAGGAACAACTGCAGACGTCTGTTTACAGCCGGGTATGCTACCAGCTTTCCTGCAACCTCATCACATACTCCAAATACTTCCCAGAAGAGTTTGGCTTCACTGTTTAATATGTGTGTTATTCTGTGAATTCCAGGCTGATATTGGTACTCAGACAGCAGAAAAATTTGAGGACGTTTCGTCCAATAGTCAAGGAAAGGGTTTTGAAGAGCAGTATGTTACTAAAAACAAAGTACATGCATCATTTGAGAGTTTGCTGAGCTCTAGTAATGAAAAAGTTGGTTGAAAGAAGCTTTCAATGTGTAGAAAATAAAATATAAAAGACCTTGATTATTACTAGTTTTCTTCAATTTGTTACTTCAGGAGGGAAACAACCAAGTGGTTCTTCTGAAGAGGGTGCTCAATCGCTTACAGCAAGAAAATTCAGAACTGAAAGCAATAGCAGCCCAGCAAAGGAAAAGGATAGAGGAACTGACAGCTAAAGCAGCTGAACTAGCAAATCATATTGCCCAACAAAAGGAACCTTCCTCTCCAAAGCCAGCAGAAAGACCCTTGAGTAAGTACACATCTTTAAAATACCACTTCATTGTTATGAATTATTTTTCAGTCCCTTCTTGTTCTGTTTTAAATCGAACAGTACTTTAATACTCTGTATACATAAATGTTTTGACAATCCTGATTGTATTTGCTCAGATAAACTACCACAACAACAGCCACTGGATCCAACATTCCAATCACCACTTCACACCTCTTATGGTCATCACACTGGCTCTACTCCGTGGTTTCCTTTAGATGCTTTCTCTAATACAGCACACTCTCCAGGAAAAGATTATCGCAGAAGACATCCAAAACAGTATCATTTAAACCACTCTGGAAGCTTAAGGTAAGTTACAGTATCCTTATTAATCTTCAAATTAATATCTCATTGGTTGTTTGTTAATTGTAGCATTTTTTCTTTTAGTTCGGATGATTCGCCCACAGAAGATGTTCTTAGAGAAGCCAAAAATCGGTTACAAAAGCTGGAGGAGGAAAGTGAAGCAGTAGACCGAAGTTATAGAGACTTTCGGGCACGTCAAGCAGATGTTACCACAACCACACCTGTACTTGGAGCTTCTAGTCAGTCAACATCAATCAATAGACCCATGGTAAGAGTTTGAAATCCTACAAGTTTTTTTTTTACAATGTGATGTTTTATTTCATATTTTTTCTCTCAAATTTAAATTAATTTTATTTTGTTATGTTTCATAGCATCCAATCAACTCCAGTTCTGATAGGCTGTTTTTGAGCTCGTCCCAACCTATTACAACTGCCTTTCTTCACTCACGAAGTTTTTCTTCTCCTTCTTCAACTACTCAAGGGCATGGGTTTCCAACATCTACTTCTTTAAGATTAACTTCGTCAAGATTATCATCTTCAAGATTATCTTCACGCTTCCCAGCAAGGCCTCGGACACAGTTTACTTTGCCAGAACGAACCAGGCATTCCTACCCACGCTCTGAGAATATTTTGAGAGTCCAAGAAAATGTACCAGCATCAGACCAGAGTTTTTCATTGATAAAACATAAGACAAATACATTACAAAATGGTAGTGAGCAAGGCCTGTCAGTGCTCTCTTCTGGGCGCTACTCTCCACCTCAGGTGGAAATGGATGTGAAGAAAGGTGACAAAATTAACCAAAGTGAGTCTCAGATAATTCAAATGATGTGAGGGATTCAGATGACATATTAAGACCATCAATAGCACCAGAGAAAGAAGTTGTCAATGAAGAAACAAAATGTCCAGAAGCCAAAAGTGCAACATCTGACAAGTATGAAAACCTAAGTTCAAAAAACAACCCTTTAGAAATCGTGCCTCAATCTCCTCTCAAGGAAAAAACGGTGGAGTCTAATGTTGATAGAGCAGGTGAGAATCTTCTTATGTTGAACAAAAAATTAGTCCCATTGGTCGACAACCAAGTTATCTCTCCTTCCGAATCTCTGCAGCCTGTTGCAGTTGAGAGTCCTGAAAGATTACCTTTAAAATTAAATGTCATTGACTCAACTCTAAATGAAATTTCAACTTGCTCCTCATCTGTAGCTAGTGCAATTGTAGTTAGTGAAAGTAATGCAATTCCCCACACAGCAATAGTAGCTATTCCAACCACAATAGAAAATGTGAAAGTCTATGAACAATCTAGTCAGCTTTTAAATACATCATTATCTAGCATTGAAAACGGCAATTTGCAAGTTTCAGGTGGTTCAGTTGATAGAAAGAGTGGTGATGATGATGACGACGACTTTTGGTAGTGTACAATAATTTTTTTGAAACCTGTTTGCACTTGCACATGTTGATTGTGGCGTGATCACAATCTATTTCTTAGTACCTGTTATTTTAGGTCTACAAAATATTGCACTTGTATTTTTGTAAAAAGTAGGCGGATCTTTTTTCTTTGCTGGAGTCAGTTTATTAAATATTTTATTTGCAATGAAAAGGTAATACATACTGAAATGTAAGCGAATATTAACAAATCACATAATAAGTCTATCATACACATAATGTACAAATAAATACATTTGAAGGTACTGCATTACAACATTTAGTGCATAATGAGATGACAGTTCTGTTTTTCTTACCTATGTTTAAACTCAGTGAACAGTATGTACAGTACTTGGTAGTTAATCACACCTGACATGCAAGCAATATTTTTAAACCTGTCTTTGTTGAAAATAATGTAAAGGATAAAAATAATGCAAAGGAAGATTATTCCTTTCTTGAAGCAAGTATGTGAGATCTATTGTAACTGCATCATCATTGTTTGAATCTTTCAAATCATATTTTAAGATGGGATTGTGTTTTTGAAGTCTCAAATGCACTCAAATGAAAAGTGCAAAATCTTGTCAAGCACATTAAATAAACCATGATGTAAAATGTGGATATATGTTTACAATATTATAACTTAAAATCTTTACAAAGAGTAAGAAATAAAAACAATCTTAATTACTCAATCTATTTACAGTCAGTCGTATTATGGCCTCTATATTTTAGAGTTTCATCCAATGAATAATTACTATTAAAACAGAAATATCTCATTCACATTGACATCATAGTGAATTGATTGAATGACTAGGCTACACAAGATCCTGTGTAATTTCAACAGGAAATGAAATCAATGATCAAGGTCCATCATTTTGGGGTGGTCTGAGGGTTTTTGTGGAAGTTTCCTCTTCTTCACTTGTATACCAATTTGGTATGAATGAATTTATTGTTTCTGATCATTTTTAGACAGTCCCCAAGACTGTCTTTACTACTAAAGGTATATGTGCCCCCCCCCCCCCTTCTCTCGCTCTTTTTTGATGAAATAGAAAAGGAGAAAACTTCCTCAAAAACCAATCAATTATTTTAACATTTTATAAAAAAAATGTATATGGTGATCTAGAACACAAATATCCTTCTGCAAACTTACTCATATAAGTACAGTCTGTTAAGAAACAAAACATTCGCAGTACTTCACTCAGCTGAGTAAGAGCAACTTGTGTTTGTTACTGTGTAGAATACATGAACGAGTCATATATCAAACTCAGAGATTAGATTCAGTCTCGAAAAATCAACTGCAGTCAGGCGAACGATGTTTGCAATGATGGAGACACAGACGCCCCTCACCGTAGAGATCCGTCGCGTCGGTACAAACCAAAACCCTGGCTCTTCCTTCATCACACACTTGGCCGGGGCCCGGCCGGCTCGGGGTCCGAGTTCGTCGGGGTCGTGTTGGAGGCGTCGGCCCCCCTGGGAGGAGAGATATGTGTTTGCTGAGCATGGTCCCACGGGAGGGTGTCGGGGGTGGGGTCGGCAGCGCCGGGGGCGGCAGCGGGGGCGGGCCAGTAGGTGGTCCGGGGACGGGGGACGGCTCCCCCGCCCCACAGCCCTCCTCAGGTGTCGTCCGAGTCCGTGGGAGGGTCCAGGGCCGTATGCAGCGTCACGGACACGCCTCTGTTGACGCTCACCGCGGGGTAGAACACGCCGTACAGGTCGTGGAAGGCGATGGGGCCCTGTGGGCAAACGGCCGTTAGAAACACCTCACCTCTCTTCTCTCGTCCAGTGTGGGAGGCAAAATTACGGGGCGGGTTACCAGCTGACAAGCGCCGTCTTTTAATTTGGGATGCACAGTTCTGCGCGGAGGCGTGCGAGCGGGTTCGCCTGCGGTCTCGAACCATGGTGCCTCATGGCCCCTGGCGAATAGGCAGCCCACCCGCACGCCTGCCTTGCAGGACAGTATACTCAGAGACGATACGGCGCTGGTCCCCACGGTCCAAACAAACAGGACCAGCTGCCCAGCTGACAGAGCAGCCCTACTCACCTGGGGCTCCTCGTTGACGTAGAAGCTGAGCTGGTGCCTGTCCAGGTCGAGCAGCACCCCCACCGTGGTGCCCGTCTGGATGCCGCCCTCGCAGCGCTGCGCGTGGGCATCGCCGTGCAGGAACCAGGACCGCTGCCTGTCGATGTACATCGCCCAGCCCTTGTCGTCCTTGCCTGCAAGAGCAAAGAGAATGCTCAAGTCTTGTGTCGCTCGAATTGGCTTACTACGGCGAGCTGCTGCAACCAGGACGACGACGACGACTCACCCAACATCTGGTCCTTGGCGACGTCCATCCTGGCCACGCCGAAGCTGGGGTCCGTGTCGGAGTCGTAGCGGTCCACGCTGAACTCCCAGTAGTGGACGCCGCGGCTGAAGCCGACCGAGCCCAGGGCGACGCGGTGCTCGTAGCCGGGGCAGGACAGCGCGCAGTGGTCCGCCGAGAACTGCAGCCCCGGCGACAGGTTGGGGTCGAACGTGAACCACGCCACTGCAGACAGAGATGAGAAGAGGGACGGTCAGGAACAGGGTGGCGGGGAGCTTCTCCGGCTTTGAGCAGAGACCCGGAAGCAGGCCAGGCCCAGAGCCTCGCTGGCGGCCCGAGGGGCAGCCTCTATTGACCAACAACATCGGCGCGCGGCGGCCCCCGCCGGCGGCAGCGGCCGCCCCCTCGCTACAACCCTTCACGGCGTCCTCGTGCCTCGCCCGCCCCGCCTCGCCTGGAGCCTTCCGACCGGAGGCGGGGCGGGGCGGAGCGGGGCGGGGCGGAGCGGGGCGGAGCGGGGCGGGGTCAGCTTCGGACCTAGCCTGGCGCGGCCCTCACGGCTCGGAAACATTTATTCTGATTGCGCTCCGGGGAGGGGTGGTGGTGGTGGAAGGGAGGGGTGAATGTCACTAACACGCACCCATCCTCCTTCACACACACACGAACACACACACACGCACACTCGGTGTGAGAGACAGGGGCGTACGGCTCGCCCTTGTCTTGCCGCCCCTCCTACGACGCTAGCCGAGCCAGCAGCAGCGCCAGTCCTCGCCTCCCCCAACGCGATGAATCCTCCCGTCTCCCGACCACTGTGTACCCCCCCCCCTCCCGGTCCCAGCTCAGAGTGGCGTCCGAATACCGTTCATTACGAGAGAAGCCACATTGACGCATCAAACACGCGGGGACAGCCGCTCGGCACGCAAGGGAGGCGATATTTCGAACCCGGGCATGTCGCGCGGCCGCGGAGCCGCGAGTCCCCCGCGCTCAAACACGCTCGCTTTGTTTGCTGTATACTTGTATATATTTATTTTATTTTTTTGTATTTTTCTTGTTTTGTTTTGCTTCCGGCCCCTCGCTCTCTCTGCTGCTCTCGGGAGGGGTGGCGCTGTGCTGCGCTGCGCGGCGCGGCGGCGGCGCTCTCGTGTCGCGTGTCGACTAATGAGGGTCGGATGGTCTGCGCCGCGCTCAGCTCACGGCCTCGAGGCCCTCGAGGAGCACCGTAACGCGCGCGCAACGACCGGCCTGGGGGCGGCGTGGGGACGGCCTCGAGGACCTGAATGACGCAGCGCACGGCACAGCGCGCGGGCAAGGCTGAATGCTCTCCATGGCCTCCTCCTCGGTGCGCATCCCGAGAGCCTCAGGACGGCAGCTGTGTAACTTTACCAAACGCCTACAACTACCCGCCGCCACCCCACTGCCGCCAAGAGCCCACGATACACCTCCCCCGCATTACATTTATACCCCACGCATACTACACTAACGCACGAAAAAAAAAGTGTTCGACGAGCTCTGATTTCACATTTATTCACCCCAGCCCCAGATGACCTCCCCTCCTGCCTGCTCCCCTCTTTGCCTCTCTCTGGTGTCCATTTCTGTTCTTCAATTTCGTGTTCTCTTTGACACCGACCCTCCCCCTCCTCCTTCCGACCGTCCATCTACATGATGGTGGTCATGATGATCATCATGACCAGCACCATCATCATCACCATCGCGATCATCTTCATAATTATTTGCATTTTGATGGAAAAGGAAGGGGAGGATGGGGAGATTAACAACAACTTTAAGATGAAAGCCCCCTACCACCCCCCGACTTCCACTGTGCCGACCGACGGCGGCGGCGCGGGTGGCCACACACACCTACAGGGGCGGCCTCGGCTGGACGTGCGCGCCGCGCGCCGCGTCCCGCCCGACCCGCGGGTGAACCGTGAACGCCAAGCAGCCCATGATGCGAGCGTTAACCGGGTAGAGGAGAGGCCACCGCCAAAAGCTGGCTGGGCCCAGCCGGGCGAGGCGGGAGTCGGGTGGTGTTTTGAATCTCAAAGGCGGCGGCGGTGGCGAGAAGGAGGCAGGGGCGGGAGGAGCTGTGGTCCGGACAGCGATAGAGAGAGTGAGAGAGGGAGGGAGAGGGAGAGAGAGAGAGAGAGAGGAAGAGATAACGGGCGCTCTACCCCACCCCTCCAGGTCCTCTCCCCATCTCTCTCTCGCTCTCCCTCGACGTGCCCCGCGTCGTGCACACACAATCAAGCAAGCGCTTTCGCCGCATTTTGCTATTCTGCGGACAGCGTAAAGACTTTGCACCGCCGCCATTTCCGCGTCGCATTCCCATTCAAGCACGTCGCGTCGCCGCGAGGGGCGCGTGGGGCGCCGTGGAGGGTGGGAGTCGTGCTGCTGCTGCACCTCCAGCCGCCATCCGGCCGTTAATTATTTCCCCGTTAGGAATTCCCTTTCCGAATGTTCGGCGGGACGCC